CCTGCCGCCACCCCGGACCCAGGCGACGTCGGTCAGGGTCTGGCTAAGTCAGAAGGGACGAACGCCCTTCATCCCATGGGATTTAAAAAAAAACCAAAAACCAAACCACGAAATATCAGGGGCCACAGGCCCGGGGCAGTGCCGATGGATGCCCCATCCCGGACGGTGCCACCGAGGTGACTGGTAGCGAGCGAAGGCTGGAAGTCCGCGGGCCGCGCAGCGCCGCGACACCCCAGCCCCCCGCTCCGCAATCGCCGGGCGCCAGGCTCAACCTACAGCGCTAACTGTACTGCTGCTTCTTGGGGTGGGGGCTTCTCTCTCCGTCCTCCCCCAGGTCGCTAAATGGTGACCGGGGTGGAGAAAGGCGCTTAGGGCATCACGGCAAGAAGTTACCTGTGGTGTCACCGCGCTTTGCCTGTAGGAAATGGAAAGAGCTAAGAAAGGACGCTCCCCTTTACCAGGCATTAAAATATAAAGGAGCAGACGCAGGTCTTCCCGGAGCCAGCGCTGCTCATCCCGGCGAGGTGAGAGAGGCGCAGAAAGAGATCGAAACCCGCCTTCATCCCTCCAGCTCGGGGAAGCTGCCCGCAGATCCGCTCGGCCGCGCCGCGGGCGCGGAACTCGCTTCCCAGCGCGGGGGCAGCGGGGCCACGAGAACCCCCCGGACAGGTGAACAGCACAAGGAGAGGAAGCAGAAGTTATCAAAGTATAAATCTCTTCGCACTTACTTCTTCCCTGTCGCCGTACCCTGGAGGCGTGCTGGCTGCCAATGTATTCCATAAAGTTCAAAGTGATAAAAAACCAAGAAATCAGTCGCAATTGCATAGTAACCCTTTGAGAGTTCGACTTCTCCTTTTCGTTCTTTCTTTCTTTCCTTAAAAAAAAAAAATAAACCGGGGTGGTAGTCGGCAAGGGATGAACACAGCAGCAGAAATACCTGCACTGAGATCCAAAGCTGGGCTTGGCCGGCTTGATGCTTTTGCCTTTTTTTTTTTTTCTTCCTTTTTT